ATTCCTGCAAACATGTCCATGATTCCTGTTAATCACTCACAAAGTCTTTAATAAAACCAGGATTGCCGTAGTGAGTCACCCTCTTTTCTACCCTTGCTGTCTTTTTCTTTAGTTCTTATGGTACCCACATGAAATTATGCTTTCTTTTTCCCTATTTCCTATTCCAGTTCTCAGTATTCAAAGGAAAAATTTAGAAATGCAGCTAAGAAATTGGTTAACACTGTTAAACACCAAAAATTAATAAGTAAAATTTCTAGTTATTTAATAATTTGACAGTGTCTGTTTGCACCTGATTCATCTTGGTATCTCTAGGCTAGGCATTGCTCTGAAGCCTGAGGGCTTTGCTGCCTTGAGTCTCACTTAATGCCCCTACTCATGCTATTTCAAAGGTTCGAGCACTTCTTTACTCCCTCCAGCTGTTTAGAAGAAAAAGCTCTTTCCTTTTTTTTTTTAATTGTAGATTTTACAGATGTTTCCTTGGGTTTCTCCTTTTTCTCTGTTCCCACCTCCTTTTTGCTTTTTTTTTCCTGATCACAGAATTGAATGTGCCTGCCAGCCACTATTTAATTATTTAATTTTTTTTCTTTATTTGCATTCACCCATCTGGTTTTGAAAATTTTATAATACATTTCCTTTAATGTCTGTCCTTCCTCTCTCTTGCATTTCCAGGTTTTTATTGTGTCCTATGTGCTATACTGTATTCTATTCTACTAATAAATGTGACCTTCAGAAAAAAATGTATTACCTTGGTAACAACTGTTAAGACTGATGAAAGTATTGTACAGGGATGATGAGACAATTTTAAATAATATTTTCCAGACTAGTCTTTTTGCAACTTATGCATTCACCAGCACAGAGAAGAAACTGGCTCTTTGGAACTCTTTTTTTCTTGAGTCCTGTTCTTTGGTCTTCCTTTGGTTTTTCCTGTAGAATTATAGCTTGTGTGGAAAAGTACTTTCTGAGGAGGTTGTGCATACTGCTCTATTTACACTGGAGCGTTGGTGGCCAGAAATAGTTACCTGGGCTGACTCTGGTCAGTCCAGTGGGTGAGCAGCCCAGTCATGAGATTCTGGCTCAGTCAGTGTGTGAACTGTGAGATCAGTGATTTCACAGGTCAGAGACACTTACCCTGTTATCCTGTTCAGAATTACTGTTCAGCCCTCAGTGTTGCTAAAGTTAGTGCAGTTATTTATAGAAATTAATTCAGCATGTAATTTCTCAAATGAAGGCCTGGATAAGTAAATACATCAAGAAGCATGAATATGCAGGCAGTTTAAGTTGTAGCTGCTTCTATGCTGAAGTATTAAAGCAGTGACTTGCACAGATTGTAGCTGTGCTATGAGTTTTCTTTTATAAATGCTTTGCTGAGCAAAGCTTTGCCTGGCTACAGTTTTAGGTATGTTCATTTTTGTTGCTGCTGTTGTGTTGCAGATCCTTAAGAATAATTGGCTGTGTAATCACAGCCAATAGCCACTGCTCAGTAATAAAATACAGAGAAAACTTACCTGTGTTGAAGTTTTATGTAGTATGTTCCTTACATAAGGTGGTTTTAAACTTTGGAGGCAATGAATGCTTCATATTTTAAGCAACTTTAGTACTCAGTTTCCTGGTAGTCTCAGGAAGATTTCCTGAAATCTTCCAGGGCTAGCTTCTGGGCATAGGTGAATATTTTAGCAATTTTAGAGTAAGACATCGAGTCAGGGATTTGATTTTATGAAGGTGGCTTCTCTAGTGGTTTTCCTGTATGTTTGTTTGTTTTTAAATAATGTTGTAGCTGAAGCACTTGGCTAATTTAGTTTGTAACAGCCTGGGTTAAAATAATTAATAGTAAACATGATTTGATTTAATGAAGTTTAGGGTTGTGGGGGTTTTTTGGTGCTTTTTTTTTTTTTTTCCTCCCAGTATTGATGCCACAGTACAAATCCTGTCTGCACTGGCATTCCACATCTGCAAGCAGACACATGCATACATGGTTTATTTCAGTTTTATGTATATCAGCAGGCTGAAACAATTTGTTTGCATCAGTAGAGCACTTCTGTCCTTAAGCTTTGCGTTAATGCAGCTGTACCCATGCTGAAATGATACACTTCTGCGTGAATGAATGAGGCCTCAGCTGCAAATATGGAGAAGATACGTGCTATGAATGTGCACTTTATACACTCTGCTCAGTTTTTCGGTTTGGTTTGGTTTTGGGGTTCTTTTGTCTGGTGTATTGTTGTTGTGTTTCTTTAACAGAGAGACTAATGGATTTGATGAGATTAATTTTGTTCAAGGTGTAATAGTGCTCCATGACCGAACAGGGAAGGTGTGAGTTCAGTTAGCCATTTTGTGCTCTTGCTGTTGCCAGCTACAGCTTTTTATTAGTAATGTGCGATTTCTCTGATACATAAAACACAAGGGGGTTTTCTTCTTTTTTGTAATTTGCACATACCTAAAAATTCTGTTATTTTGACAATTCCTCAGGCAAGCTGACCTTCACTTTGCGTACAACCGAAGGAGAGGCAGGGTTAGTCTTCATGGCAGTAGAAGCAGACTTGTAGGAGGCTTGAGATGTGTTGATGACTGGAGGGAGTTCAAGCTTGAACTCATTCCTTAGTGCAGTAGTTTGAAAGGGTCTGTATATGCTTTGCAGAGAACTTGCTGACTGCAAGCAGAGATTGGTGAAGCACTGACCACATACTTCATGAGCTTGTAGCGGAAGAAAGCCAAAGCTTTCATTCAACTTTAATTTTGTTGGTTTTTTTTTTTACTAAGGGATTTGGGCTTGCTTAGTCAGTTCTTTGTGTAAATGTATTGTATTGAGTATAAAACCACCCTGGTTTAGAGAGTAGGAGTCAGAGTTGCGTTCATGCTACAGGTGGATATCAAATGGACTGAACCTTTATTTCACTGGACTTTTGGTAAAATTTCATCAGTTCTGTTTTGCAGATGGACTTTTCCAACAAAATCGGCATAGAAACTTGGTATTAAAGTAAACTGTCTATATTCAAGGAAATTTTCTCTTCAAATGGCTTTCTCCCCCTTCTCTCATCTCACACTCTTTGTTTGAGTTTCTGTGGGAAAAACCAGCTCTGTCACTTTACTTTGTGGCTTAATTGTTGTGATAAGTAGACCATTTGTTGTTTGTCTGTTAACAGTTTTTCCAAGGTAAGTGCTGTAATCCTGAGCTCAGATACAGTTTGGCTCCTGCAGAATCTATTTTTTTGTTTTTACCCTTTGGTAAATCTTTTGAAAACCTTCTGATGTCCGCTCTACAAGTATCTGATGTGTTATGAGGACTGTACAATGTTTGCAGTGTATGTTTACGGATAGCTTCTGCTGACTGTTGGTTGGGTACTTTGCTGGTATATTTTTGTCTGTACATTGCTCATGGTTTGGTAGCTTTACTTAACTTTAATTTCTTTGAGCCTAAAATATGACAAAGTCATCCTGGG